GTTGCAGCAGCCGGCATCGGAGCCTCTAAAAATGGTTCGCTCAGGGTTTAGAGAGTTTAGGGTTTAGAGTTTAGAGAGTTTAGGGTTTAGGGTTTAGGGGGTTTAGAGTTTAGGGTTTAGAGTTTAGAGAGTTTAGGGAGTTTAGGGTTTAGGAAGTTTAGGGAGTTTAGGGTTTAGGGCTTAGGGATCAAAGCTTTCAGCGTCTGTCTTATTTGGTCTTCCCATCGAAGCTGGGGCCTCTATCGTCCATCAGATCCGGTGAACCCACACTGGGGCCCCGAAGGGAAGACAGGGCCAGTAATGTGAAGCCTATCAAACAGCCAAACCCTGAAAACCCCAAACGGGTAGTTTTCTAACATAGGGTCCCTTCGGGGGTCCTTTTTATAAGGGTGCCGTACCCAAAAAGGGACCCGAATTTAAGAGAACTACCCAAACTCCTTGAGCCCAAACCCTAAAGGCTTAATTCGCACTGAGCAGGTCTATGAAGACCTGCTGAAGGCTGGTGTTTTGGATCCTGCCAAGGCCTTTGAGTCAAGCCGGGGGAGTTGTCCTGAGCTCTGAGGGCGTCCGTGGTGGCCTGCAGAGCGTGGAAGAGTGAGTATATTATATTTAGTTCTTTTGGGCGTGATTTGGGGCTTCGGTTTTAGGACTTTGGTGGTTTAGGATAATGTAGGGGTTTTGGGTTTATGGCCTGGGACTGAGGATGTGCCTTCAGTCGAACGGTCATCGATGAAGACTCTGCAGGAGTTGGCCCCTAGGCCTAGGCACAGATGTTCGTCGTGTGACTTCTACTCCGTGGTACGCCAGAGTACCTGACAGTATGTGCCCCTGTGTGCTTCAGATCTCAGAAACCTATTGTCCGCCCACGATTGTGTCTGTTTCCGTTTCTACGCATGCATGTGCTATGTACATCTGTCTGAAAGTATGTACATCTGCCTGCAACCACTGTATATATGGAGCAAGCAGGGTAGGCTGCAGTGCGGCTACAGGCCGTGTAGGGCCTTTGGGTAAACTGGAAAAGTGCAGGTGGTCATCAACTCAGTCGTCAACGCGGCGTCCATTGCTGGCATGGCTCGGCACACAGCATTGAGGGAGACTCTTCATCGTGAGGATACCACTGATTATTTCGCTAAGGAAAGGTAAGTAAACCATTTTCCCTAACTTGCTCAGTCTCCTGATTCTTCAAGTAGAAAAGGTTTCACCATCAGCACAGCTTGTGACAGTGATCTCCTTGTGGCCGCGAAGGTCCTGACTACTGATGCCATTGTCACGGACCTGCCGACCACACCTGCACCAACTCCGGCGGGTGGCATGGGTGGCGGAATGGGCGGCGGAATGGGCGGCATGGGGGGCATGGGCGGAATGGGAGGAATGCACGCGCCTAAGATTGCGCTCTGCAGATTGTCCATCATGTGCTGGACTCTTGTCAGTTTGGATTTAGACAATGGCACAACAGAAGATGAGCCTGTTTCGATGAACCCGAGTGATAACGAGTGCATGCTTGTGAACTCTGTCGAGGTACTGATTTCCTGACCGCGAGTGCTTGTCCTGTGTATCCGAAGAAGTATGGTAAGCGATTGCCGACCTCTTGGTAGGCTCTCCGTTTCTTGCTTGCCCGAGCACAGTGTGCAGCGCAAATGTGTCTGCTGGACACCTCTTGCTGCGTGAAATTCTGACCCCTGGTGCTGCGTCAAATACGTACATGGCCAGGGAGAAGTTTTGTTCCATGTGAAGGCAGAAGACGATTGCAGAAGGAATCCCGCAAGTCACTCCGCCGACTAGTCTTCTGCCTTACCACAGATATTTGGCTGTCCTCGCACCGGCTTGTAGACATCCTTTCCGGTACAAGTACGCATACAGCTCTCTGGATGCCTGCGCCGGGAGATGACAGCCCTCCATACTGAGCGTGTTCGTGACCCAAAGACTCTTACCAGCCGCTTTTTGGTCACCAAGGTGCAGTTTGCGGCAAAGAGACGGTACTGCAGCGTCGGTGTTCTAGTAGATGTTGACCAGGCTTGGCAGAGCCCCAGCTGAAACAGCCCAGCACCGCAGCTTTCGGAACAAGCTCTCTTACAAGCCCTGGCGGCCAGAAGCCCGATAACCTTAAGCCCCAAGCCTAGGCCCCAAACCTCAGCGTAGTAATGCATGATTCCTGATGGCGGAGAGTAGCATGGAAGCTGGTGCTTCAGTTGACTGGGATACGGTCTTTTCCTCAGACACGGAGGATGAAGCTGCAGGCAGGGCCAAAGCCGAGAAGAAGATGGGCATTGCCACGCAGAACAAGCAGAACGGGAATCTTGGCCGCATTCTGTGATTCGTTTCATGCTCATACCATGATGAAGGTTTAGTTTTCTGGAATCCCTCTTATAGAGGTCGTTCGTGGAAATGGAAATGGAGGACTCTGATGTCTATATACTTCTTCGACTCGACTCCAAAGACCATACATAACTAGTCCTTGCTCTCGCCACGTTTGCTGGTACAAGCGGATCCCAGGAATGCCCTCATGCAAGCAGGAAAGCTTTCCGAAGCAGAAGTCCTTTACAGGAAAGCCCTCTCTGCAATATGGGCGCCCTATCGCCAGAGGAAGGATGCAGCTGCCGTGGCCCTGGGAGTTGCAGTGGACCTGAATCTGGCTTTGTGCTATCTGAAGCTCGAGCGCTGGGACGCTGCAAGGCGATCTGCGAGCAGGGCTTTGGAGGTGGGGTAGTTCTCTAGATTAGGCAGGTTCCTTTTTCAGAGTCCCCAATTTAGTACGGCACTCTTTTAGGGAGGGCCCTGAAAGGGACACTCAACACTAAACCCAAAACCTCAAACCCTAAAACCCTAAACCCTAAACCCCTAAACCCTAAAACCCTAAACCCTCAAACCCTATATAAACCCAGAGAACTACCCAGGTGGAGCCTGAGAATCCCAAGGGCCTCTACCGCCGTGGGCTGGCGTCGGCGAGATTGGACCTGCTCGACGCCGCACACGACGATCTCTCGAAGGCCTCTGCAGTAGCAGGAGACTTATAGTAGATGGCCTTTCTTGCAGTCCATACCTACTTGTATGTAACACTCTCTGTAAGATTCCGAAGCAGCAATGTCATGTGATATTGGGCCCCCAAACCCTGGTCGAATTATGAAGGCCTGGCAGCACTCGCCGTCGCCGGACGTTCAGCAGGAGCTGCAGAGCGTCCGTGAGCGCCGGGGCAGCAAAGCCGTGCCCCGCGGGTTCTTAAAGGAAGCCAAGGAGCCCAAGGAGGAGCTCGAAGAGGAGCCCAAGAAGGACGAGTCCCAGGAAGGGCCCCAGGAAGCTTTGGAGGATGAGAGCGACTGGGCGGTCACCGAACAGGTCGAAGACGCACTTTCCGAGGCCGGGAAGCTGCTTCTGGCCATCAGTGAGCGGCGCATCGCCTGCCGATCCCAGACGGAGGTCAAAGCCCTCCTTCGCCAGTTGCTGGGCTCTTGTTATGAGGGAACTTGAACCAGTGTAGAGAGTTCTTCTTGTGAGATGATACTCTGATATCCCGATTATGGGGTGCCTTGGTTTTCAAGCTCCTTGCCAGAATAACCCAGGCTTGACAGCCTGTCGGAGCTGCTGCCACAGGCTCGGACGGCCATTGCCGCGGCGATCACGATCCCGGCGCCGGAGACCTTGGAGCCCAAGGAGTGCTGCGAGCACCTCTTGGGGTTTGAGCGTTGATGGGATTTAAGTTGTTTTTGGGGTTTGGGGTTTGGAACGTTGAGGTTATTCTTGGTTTTACGATTTAGGGCTTTCCGGGTGGGAACGAGTGGAAGAGTGTGAAACACCCACTGCCGCAGAAACGGTAGCGAGGTAGTGAAGCACCTATGGTGACGCAGTTGCACCACTGAGACCATTGAGCAGCACCCAAAGGGAGCAAAAGCATCCTTCTTGAACGATGAGCTTTGCTGGCTTCCACAGCCTTCCCACCCCCCCCCCCCTAGACTCCCATAGACTCCCATAATATAGGCCCCTAGACCCGAAGCCTGGAGCCCTGAATCCGAAGCCCACATCTTTTTTTTGGGCGTTGCTCTGGGCAGCCCAGGCTCTTCGAGCGGATGGCCGAGGGCCTCTGGAGCTTTCGGCCCTTCTTCGCCCTGCAAGAGCGACAGCCGGGGGAGTTTCGAAATCTACGGGTCTGCCGTCAGCTGGGTATCTGAGCTGCTGACTTTCGTAGGGTTTTGGAGGCTCCGCTTGTCCAAGGTTTCAGTATGCGGCGGTGAGAACACGTGTCTAGATCTTCAAAGCACGGGTTTAAACGGATCCATGTACAGTTTGTTTGGGTAGCCCAACATGTAAAGCTCTCTAAGGTATGTCCAAAGCCCTTCTGTTAAACTCCAAAGCCTCAGCCCGCAAGCATCCTACACCCCTCTCCCCCAAGAATCACCCCTGAACTCCCCGGCCCAAGAACCCCTTAAGCAAAGGTACGAACCCGAAGTCGAAGAACGCCTGGCCCCGAAGCTTCGACGTGGAGTTGATCCGCTGGGGCGAGGCGAAAGCTGCGACTCCGGGGGACTCTCCGTCCGTGCTTCGGGGTTTAGGGTTTCTAGGGCTTAGGGTAATGACGCACCTAGTCCAATAAAAGTTGCGATCATAAAGGGGTTTCGATCGCACTTGTTATAGGGGCTTCAGGGCAAGGGAGCTTTGCGGGCTTCTGAGATTGAGTTGAGAGGGTGTTTATATAGAGGGTGCTGCAGAACTTGGTTCACGTCACCAGAAGTATAGGAAAATTTCTTCTCCGCCCCGTGCCCCTATTGTGGTAGCTTGGACCCAGCAAGAGCCCAGGACTTCGCGGAAGCGCTCTTCCCACCCAGCGGGAAGCCACCCAACAAGGCTGCGGCCAGGTGGCAGTCGGAGGTCTTCTTCCGAGTTTTCCAGAAGGATGCCGGGAACTACGTGGCGGGTGCCGTGTGGCTGCTCCTGCGCGAGGCCCTGCAGCGTGGAATTCAGCTTCAGGTGAAGGGCCGGGCCATCCTGGAGGTGGGTTTCGAGGCCGTTCTTTAGCAAAGGGTTCGATGTTAGAGTGTTAGAGCAGCAGTATTCAGCAGACCCTTACGGAGGACTGATCTTAGAACACTCGTACTATACTATCGTGGATCCTGATAATATGGGGACTAGAGTGACTAGATAAAGTTTGAGGCCTCCGAGAAGAGCCCAGGTTTGTGTCAGGGTATGTTCTTCGAAGCTCCAGAGAAGCACGGGCCGGCAGCTGAAAGAGACTGGGCTCTTCTTAAGGAATTTGGTTTACGTCACCATAATATAGGGGTCTATAGCAAATAATATCATGGCTTCCTTATGATACTTTGTAGTAACTACCATCATAGGGATCTATCTATAGCAAATAATATCATGGCTTCCTTATGATACTTTGTAGTAACTAAGTGAAATCCCTTAAGCAGAGCCCAGGAGAGGACCAGGCTCCTCAGGACTCTCTGGCCATCTGCAGTGGGGCAGACCGGCGCTTGATCCTCGTCCCAACCTTCACCACAGTGGGTGTGCCCCACAAATGGCTCCTCCTGAAGAGCGAAGATCAGGTGATGGCTGCCGACCTTTGCTCCGGAGCCCTGGGTCTCTTGGACTCCGGCTCTGGGCTTAGCCCGGTCCGTATCTGGGATTCTCAGAGCGACCCGAGATACGTGGTCCGCTGCTCCGCCTGGGGCGAGGATGCACGGCTACTGGCCCGGCCGCCAAAAGTGGGCGGGTCGTCTGGGGCAACGCAGATGCGGCTGGCCGTCGGATCACTGCTTGCAGCAAGTGGATTGGGCTGGGATGCAAGACTGGGCGATGAACTTGCGGAATCCCTTATGCAAGAGCCTTCGACGATGCAGCTGTACGAAGACGACACCTTAGAAACTGCAAGGAGACTTCACAATGCCATCACTCTACTGGGGCTCTCTGCCTCGCTTCCCTCTTCCTTCCTGGAGGCTGCTTCCGATGAGGACATTGCAGCTGTGCATGCAGCCCCTCGGCCACCTTTCAGAACGACTGTACTGTATTGTATTTTTTTCATATGTAATAACAGAATATAATATAATATAATATAATATACTATAATACAATATAATATAATGTGATTATTGCGACCGCGAAGCATAGCCAACGTCATCCAGCCTTTTCATCCTAGTCCCTCCATCCATCCAGCCAGCCAGCCCGCCATCCATTTTCCATGAGTGTATCATGCACATAGATGTACATGTGCATGTACAGATGACAAACTATAGTATACATGTGTGTATATATATATATCTGCGAATATACATATATATATATATCTCTCTCTCTCTCTCTGTGTTTGTGCGTTTAGCAAACCGAAGACTGAACGAATCTTGGAGATGTTGCTCTTGCCGTTTGAATGCGAAAATTATGAGCGACCTAGTTCTCTTACGATGGTAAATATAACGACCCACCGAACTGAGCTAAAACACTCGGATCCTGATTACGACCTCTTAATATAATAGGTCCTAGTAGATAAGATACCTCCAATAAAGGGTGGCTTCTTCAGCTTAAGAGTATCTTGCTTACTCTTGCTTAAGAGCCCTATATAGGATTAATCCCAGTATTTAGGGGTTACATTTTCGTTTCATACTGTAGGTTCTTGAAATAGCAGGGGTACCTAACTCAAGTCAAGGGCCCTTGCTCAGACTTTTCGCTTGCATGCCCTTTCTATCTAGCTGCCAGGATGTTGCAACCTCATCCCGGAATCCATTATGTGTTCCGGAACCCTGCATGTGGCAGAGGTACAGCCCAGCTGCCCTCATACCCGAAACTTCCCTAAACACCCTAAACCATAAAACTCTAAACCCGAAAACCTAAACCCCTGCCTAAGCCCGGCGCAAGGAAGCAGTGGGACAGATGGCACAGCGGAAGCTCCGATCGCTCGGCTTCGAGAAGTTGGCCGAAGCAGCTTTCGGCTCGAAAGCGGAGCGGGGGGGCGGGGGTTGGGTTTGCAGGGTTTTGGGGGTTTAGGGCTTAGAAAGTTTAGGGTTTAGTGCGAAAGGTATGCAACACAGCTGGTACTCAACAGCGAGATGCTAAGGAATGTAAGCTTCCGATAAGAAGACAAGCCCTGTACGATGTGGACACAGAGGGATTCCAAACGAGACCCTTCATTTGAGAAGACCAGCCGTATCCCAAAGGGACCCAAAGTTAAGAACAAATCCCGGAAGTGTTTGGACGAAGCTGGTTCCTTGAGATGATGCTGGAACACAAATGCACACTATTAATCATGGTATTTGTAGTGGATGACGACAATCATGATGCTGGCTGCCATGTGCTCGTGCGAATTTCTTGCTCGCCGCTTCGCTTCGGAGAGCTCTTGATTGCCGCAGCCGCTTTGTTGGAAGGAAGCTACATGCGAAATTAGACGCCCTTCGTCACTTTGCAGGTTCTTCCTTCATGGTGCTTAAAACTTAAGACTTCGCGGAGTGTGGGAGGGATATCCCCGCTGTTCCCAACTATCGCGCCCCTCAGGTGACGTATTCAAGCCATACCTTACCATATCCAGCGTCCTAGAGAGACCGAGAGACAATACTCCAGAAGAGTCCTCACTGTCACACAGTGTCACAACAAGCTTGAAACTGCAGCTGCTTTTAACCATGCCTCCACAACCAAGCAGTGTCGCTCCGACCGAGACCCATATTCGACAGGGCATATCTCCCACCTTCATGTGCTTGTTCGCAGCATTGCTCCCAGCTACGGGCAATGCCAAAGAACGCGAACATGTCGCGCCGAATTTGCCAGAGTATCGCCGCTGCCATGGTACTGCTAGGTCTGCTAGGTGCTACCTCCAGCTTCGCAGTGAGACAGCAACGAGGAAGGGGCCAAGACGTCCGAACTCTTCAAACCAAATCCACTTGGCGGATGAAGGACGGACAGGAGGACAAACGCAGCCTCCTTGCGAAGCTCCGGGATCCCAACAGCAAGCCGAGAGATCTTGCTACGACGGTCGCTGCTTTGCAGCAGCGTCGTCTGCTGACTGAGTCCCGGGAGTACACGACAGCGATCAATGTACTTGGCAAGTTGGGTCTTTGGCGTGAGTGCTTGGGCTTGCTGGTGGACATGCAAAGGAACGGGCTTACGCCCAACGTGATCACCTACAACGCAGTTCTAAAGTCGCTGGCGCGCAACCGCCGCTGGCAGGAGGCGATTCAGCTGATTGGGGAGATCTGGGAATCAGGGCTGTCACCCGATGCTGGGCCTTGATATTCAGTTTCGGTATATATGCATGTACAGATACCAAGAACTACATAGCTTGGTACTTACGATGTGTGTATAGTGTATTTACCTATATACATATATATATATATGTATGTATGCATGTACATACATATATCTGTATATCTGTATATATATATATACACATGTGCAAGTTCGTTTACGACAATAAAAGTTGTGGTTTCGCAGGCCTCCAAACGAGCCCCAGGATGTGATATCCTACACAACGGCCATCTCTGCGTGCGCTGACAGCGGGCGCTGGAAAGAGGCTTTGCAGCTCCTGGCCGAGATGGAGCGTGCTGGGATCAAGGCCCACAGTCTCAACAAATCATTTGCACATCGGTATGTAAGTAAACCTGTAGTCATGTAGGTGTGTATGTACGTGTTCATGCATGTATGCATGTGTGTATGTGTGTATGCATTCACAAGTGTACGTGTGTAGGTGCAAGTATGACAACCTAGTAGTTCGTATGAGACAGCAGGCAGATGAAGGCGCTTGTAGGAACCACAGTCCTGGCACCCTAGACACGAAAAAGGTAAGCCCTGTACTCTCGCTAAGCGCGGTGGTAGTGGGAGCAGGAGCAGCAGCAGCGGCAGTGACAACAGCAGCAGTTTCTTTCTTGATTCGCTTTGTCCAGGCCGATGTCCGGATCTTCAATGCAGCCATCAACGCTTGCGCACAGGCCGGCGAGGCCGTGCGAGCACTGCTGCTCTTTCAGGGCATGCCCGAGAGGGGGCTGGTGCCGGATACAATTACGTACAATGCCCTCATCAATGTTCCTGGGAACCGTCTTGAGAAATGCGATTCCTGTTTCTGGTCAACAATCCTGTGCAAGACATGCCCGCATAGAGCCTAAACTCTAGACAGAAGGCCTTCAACTTAGAACTTTTAAACCCAGTACCCTAAATATCAAACCCTAGACCTTATAAACCCTAAACCCTAAACCCTAGACTCTGATCTGCTTTCGCACTCCGGTGCTGGAAGACTCGAGGCTTGTGCCCGAGGGGGAGCCTGGGAGGATGCCCTGCAGTCTCTGACGAAGATGAAGGACTTGAAGGGTTTTGGGGCGTGAGGCTTTAGGAGTTTAGGGATCGGGTTTAGGGTTTAGGGTTTTTGGCATGAGGGGTTTTAGGGCTTGAGGGCTTATGGTTTAGAGTTAAGGTGTTAGGGCTCGTGGGTGTAAGTGTAAGTTTGGGGGGGGGGGGGGGGTGAACAAGTCACGGTAAGTCCCCTGCATAGCGACCCTAAGCCCTTCCTGGGCTTTAGGCTTTAAGATTTTGAGCTTAAGTTTGTAAGTTTCGGGGGCTTGAGGGATTGACGAAGCACGAAGGAGCAGGGCTTGACCCCACAGACAAGAACCTACAACTCAGCCATCAATGCGCGCCTGGCCTACATGAGGTTGTTCGAATTTTGGGTTCTGGGATGTTTAGGGCTTAGGGATATCTTCCGGGAAGTTTCAACACTAGCTTTCTTCTGTGTTTTCGACGGATTGTTGCTGCAACTCCTCGATGGTTCGCTGCTCTCCTTTCATCTTTTGGCAACTAGTGCATCGCCCAGAAAAAATGTCAGCATGCACTGTTTGGAACAGAGCTCTCATACTCGCGCATGATGAGGTGCGACAAGGCTTTCCGTGGCTACGAGACCCTGCTGATGCTCGCATGCACTCGGGAAGCCAATCCAAGCTTGCATGCTCTGGTAATAACCGTAATAATCATGATAATAAAATGTAGAATAGACAATAATAGTGATAATATAATAAAAATAATAGTAATTACAGTAATATCAATAAGAAGAAGAAGAATACTATCGAGGCTTCGTTTGGCCATTTGATGTGTCAAGTTTTGGTCCATCGGAGCCTGTGGAGGCAGTGAATTATTCACAAATCAGGAAGTAGCTCGTGCATACGTGATTTCTAAATCTGCAAAAGTAGCCTCAGCAGACAGCTTCAGCAGTAGCCTCAGTAGTGACGGAGGAATCTGTGGTGGCGGTGGTGGTGCTGGCAGTAGACAGTAGGCCATGCTACTGTGCCTTTTTTCTAGTCGCTATTATTGATGGCCGCCATCGCCGTCATCATGGTCATCGTTATCATCATCATCATCCTCATCATCCTCATCATCCTCATCCTCTTCATCATCTTCTTGTTCTCCGCCTCCATCGCCATCTCCATGTCCATCATCATCATCATCGTCATCATCACCATCCGGCTGCTGGTATATCCTGGTATCACCTCTGCCCCAGGCTGTTGGATGACATGCATGACCATGAGGCTCCGCCTGAGTCCGATAGCTGACTGACAATACCCTCAAGTCAGCGATCATCTTGGCTGCGCAGGCGAGGCCCAATGCGGTGACTTATAACACCGCGATGAGTGCATGCTTGAAGGGCGGAATGCAGGAGGAGGCCGGCGAGCCAGGTCTTTCTTCGATTCAGCTGCGATGCGTTTCGTGATCGATGCTGCTGCATGCAACACTGTCGCAAGAGATTGGTGTTTGAAAATATGTTCCATGAGAACGCTCAAGACTTGCAGGCTCGTGCGTTGCTCGAGGACAGCTGGCTGCCACTGGCTTGTGTTTTGTTGCCGCACACGTAGTACTCCGCAGTTACGCCTTGCTCGAATATTCAGTCTGATCTCTGCACCTGGGTCGTCCTTTTTGTGCTTCGGATTGCAGCCAAGCCCGGCTTGAGCTGCGGAGCGGAACTTCGCGACGTTTACTGGCTCACAGAGGAAACGCACAGAGGGCTTGCAGGATGTTAACGTCCTCTGCACGTCATTCGGAGTGCTTCTGCAATTACTGTTTTTCTGTTTCTTCTCGGTTCTTACTCTTAGCTATGCTAGTCGGCCTCAACACGCGGGTAAACCGTCGCCAGGCAGGACCATCAAACCTCACCCCAAAAATGCGGATGATATTCAAACCCCAATCAAGCCCTATGATAACCCCAAAGCCCTATGGCGCTTGAGCCCCAAACCCTAAACTCCTAAACAGACAGAGCATGCTGTCCGTATGAAGATGTGTCTGAGCTCCTGGATGGCTCTACGCCCCAGCTGAGGGAAGTGGAGGCTTGATGCTCTCCGCTCCTCCCCAAGTGCATCCCAGCTCCATCTAAATCCTCAGGGCCCTGAAGACTTCACTTAGGAATTCTAGGTTTTTCTAACACCCCCCCAAGTTCATGGAGTGAAGGGCTGAGTCAGGTTTAGGGTTGACTGAGCCCCAATCAGAATCAAGCGAGGTCCCGGGTTTTCTTGTATATGACCAATTTCGCCTAGCTCAGAGTTACTCGAGCTTTGGGCTTCTAATCCAAACCCTGGGCCGGCCAAAAAGGGGCCTCGAAGACTCTCTGTGAGGCGGGGGCCATGTCCAGCCGCCCAGGTGTCGAAGCGCGTGCGCACCCGAGAGGGCTTAGGGCGGGCGTAGCTCTGCGGGTGCGTGACTGCTGTAATTCTTGGCGAACAGTTTAAGGAAGCATAATACAGGGGCCTTAATAATTAGAATAGGGTTTGGAGGTATATTATACTATAGCTATAATAAGGAACCCCGTATTTGGTCTAGGTTTCAGGGATTTGTACCGTTTTATAGTTTGGCTGGCCCGGGCCAGGGCATGCAGGACTGAGGAGTTTTGCAGCTAAAGGTTTGTTGTTTACGGGTTGAATGGGGCCACCCTGGCATGTTTGTTCTAGGACGCTTATCGTGGGGGTCCCGGTGATACCTCCGAATTAGAATCAGTAGCCTCCCGGGATGCTGCAAACATCTGCCAACCCCACTCTCAAGCATTACCTGCATGGTGCAAGGATTTTCAAGGAAAGGCCATACACTTCACAGGATGACGTTGTGGTATTGTTGGTTGATGGACAGGCTCGATATCGTGCAATGGATCATGCACTAGTTCGACGTTACGACTAACCATGTGGCGATGTTGCAATGATGGCCTGGCCTACATGCTCCATGCCTTGCACTGCCTTGCAGTGCCTTACATCCTAAATCCTACAACCTCAGACTTGATGAGCTGTACATTGATTCACCCCTAAATCCGTACTTGTAGGCCCTTGAGCTCGAAATCTTTGGCCGCCAGGGGTCGATCTGCCCGACGATCCGGAAGAAGCTCGTGTGAAGTACATCAAGCTCAGGCCGCTATACATATAATATACATCTATGTGTGTATATGTATGTATGTATATTGTATATATATATATATGTATATGTATATGTATGAATAAATGTATAAGCACCGGCTATGTATACCGAAAAGCGGGAGATATGAGTGCACACTACATATAAGTAGTACACAGTAATCACGTCGAACCGAATAGAAGGTAGAAATATCTGCCAACAGATGCAGCGTTCCTGTTCGTATACATCTTATCGCACACACACACAGACACATACATGCACGCACACGCACATGCCTACGGTGTGTTGATCAGCACCTCTAACCATAGAGCCCGAAACGCTACAACTTAAAGCGTCCACCTGCACAGATCCCGTACTAGTAGCAGCCTAAGCCCTAACACCTAAACCCTGCAGCCATAAACTTTGAAGCAGAGAGCCAAACCCCTAAAGCATTAAGATTTCTGAAGACTAGATCAAGACCATGCAGCCTACATTCTAAGCCCAAACCCATTCAACACGAATCCGCTCCGGCACGGATTCAGGCAGCTGGTACGCGAGACTTTCGAGAGCTTCCTCCGGAGTTTGAACTCGCAGCCACTGGATCGAATTGGCTCAATGTCTTTAACGCGTACGGGTATTTTTGAACAGCATGTGTGCATACATACTTACATACATATTGTATATACGCATATATATATATATATACACATACGCGTACACAAAATAAGTGTGTTTGTGTTACGTGCCTGTTCGTTTGTGCATAGGGTGTGTATGCAAAGATACCTCAGGTACGGAAATGCACAATATGTAACTGTTAGATAGACCATGCAAGCAAATATGTGCAGACACACATGAGATGTTTGTATTGCCATATGTAAACCACTGCATTTTCGGGGGTCTTCGGGATCTCGGTGTATCCTGTCATGTCCGGAGACCTGACCCTGAGTATGCGAGATCTGCCTGTGCTTGTCGACATGATAGGGCGGCAAGAGACGTAGCCAGAGGTTTACAGTCTTCACTAAACACCCCCAAGCGCATTGTGAACCCCTTAAGCAACAAAATCCTCGGATGAACCCGTCGATCGTAAATTGAAAGCAGTTTGAGTGTCCGAGGTCGCTGCGATGGCTGGAGCAGCAGCAGCTGGGTGAGCACAAGCGTGGGGCAGTCGGGGTGTGCTTTGTGGTAAATGCCTCAGTATTCAGCGGGTTGGGGAAGAGCACAATCTAGAGAGAGCCCAGTGGCTGCTGTACTGAATCGAAGTGTTTTAGTTCGTCATCAACTTTTCTGGCCACTGTTTGGGGAAACCGCTGGTTGACATGGAACGTCACCACGCTTGCCACCGGATCCCGATATAAGGTTCAATGCTCCGCGTTTGCTAAGGCTTTGTCTGCTACAAGTGATCTGTCTGTTCTTCCCTGATGAGTATTGTCCAGCTGCCATCGGACAGAGCAGCGGTTGCCTGCATTGGCACATGGATTTTTGCGCTGGCTTCTAGACTCGCTAGGCAAAACAGCCTAGACACTGATCCTTCGCTTCGCAGGAGGGATCGTGTCATATGAGAAGGTCGTCGAAACTAGGCAGTTTCCGGAACTCCAGGTAAACCCTCCTCAGTTTCTTGGACAGCTTCCAGACAGCGATCGACCGCGATGGTTACCCGATGAGAGTGTTTGTAGCCTGGGCGTGCGAACGCAATCAACAGGACTGTCTCCGTTGAGGAGCCACATAGAAGAAACCAACAGCGCCCAGGTTTGAAGACCATGGCGAGAAGCTGAACTCCGGCAAATTCCTGCGGATTTTCTCCAGAGCACTGCCGACAAAGTTCTGTTTTGTTGGCTTTGTCCTTTCCACTTCCATGCCTTCGTAACCCTAAACCCTAAACAGGCCCGAAACCCCAAACCCTAAACAAAACCTAAACAATGCTCCGAAGCGCTGTGCCAGGTGTGCCCGCGCTTGGAGTCGGCAACCTTCCCCAAGTACGAGGAGCGAAAGCTCGTGCCGGACCCGGGCTCCTTTCTTGGGGATGGAGCATCTGCATGTATGTATGTATGTATGTATGTACGTATGTATGTATGTATGTGTGTACATATATATATATATAGGTATGTATATGTATACGTGGACGGAATTCCAGAGGGTTGGTCAGGTTATGTGGGCCAGTCAGTCACTTTTACTGTTGGGTTGGTTGTTTGCTTGCTGGGTTGGTTCGTCAGTCTATCAGGTCAGTCAGGTCAGTTCAGTCAGTCGGATACTTAACTACCTCGCTGGCTCGCTAGCTGCTTAGCTACTTGGTTACTTTGATACTTGCGGTGTTGCAGCTCAGGCGGTGCACCTCTCGGTGCTGAAGCTCTTCGAAGGCCGGTGGGTCGAATGCGGAGGAGGGATGCATCCGCGCTTCCCATCTTTTTAGGTCAGCTCTGCGTCGCGCTGCGGGGCTATTCAAGCACCCCCTGCAGAGAACAAAGTTGAAACTCTGCTGTCTAGTGCAAGTGGAACCTCGAGAACTTAGGTGATTTACAGATATTTGCAGGCGGCAGGCATAGACTGGCATAGACAAGCGATCATCTAGGCAGGGTTTTGGGTTCGGATGTCAGGATTAGAAAAGCTCGTGCATGGCTTCTGGTCGCAGGGATGGACGTGGACGAATCCGGAGAGACCTCCTGGATGGAGTTTGTGGAGTTCATTAGCGTGCGGAGCCCGGGTTGGGACGCAGTGGGCCCGAGCTCTGCCCTGAGGAAGATCGAGGCCCCTACCTAAATAATTACCAATACATTTTTGGGTGTTCCTTTAATAGTATATGATATCTAACTATTAAGGCCCCTATATTAGGCGCGCGTTGTTCACGTGGTGTCGGCGGATTCGACGGGTACAGGATCCTCAAATTTCAGGATCCTTAAGCTACCATCAGCCCAAGCTGGGTGAGGTAGTCCTACAGGGAAGCCTGGGTAAAGCATCGCCCCCTCTGTCGAAGAGCCAAACCCGAAGCAAGCGAGCAAAACGCCCTCAAATCCTAGGAACTTGATCGAAGCTACAATGGTAAGGAAGGAAGCATACATACTTCACACTTCCTATGATGACTTAGCTAGATTTAAAAAACTAAGTTCGAAATCCTCCCACCCTCAGGCCCCGCGAAGTTCAGGATTTTTGGGGGAGAAGAATTTTGTGAGCATCAGAAGCTGATGGACCCGAGCATACGCCCAATATCATCACCAACGTCATGATTTCATAAACAGTTCATGGTTTTTGGCCTTTGTAGTTTGAAACTGCGAATATACGATATTAAGCATGTTTTACAACTCTTCTTGTTTGGTTCTTCGTGTTTCAATTAGGACGCCGCTCTTCGGAGTCACTTTCCGAGGCCGTGGCCGAGGAGCTGCGGTTGAAAGCTCAAGAGCTGCGACCTGGCGGCGGAATGTTTGTAGGGTTTTTAGGGTTAGGGTTTTGGGGTTTAGGGCTTCGGGGTCTTGAAGGGTTTGGGGTCGAGGGTTTTTTTTGCGTTTTAGGGTTTGGGGTTTAGGGGTTCAGGGGTTCAGGGGTTTGGGGTTGGGAGTTAAGGGTTGAGGGTCTTGGATAAAGCTTCTATGGGCTCTGCTTTCGGGATCCTTTTGAGTGCAGAGTACTACCCTCCTGTGTGGGCTCGAGGCATGCGCCGCCGGTGTTGCGGGGGACTAGCGTCCGATCATTTGCACGCCACGTGCGGTGCATCCCTGTTCAACTCAGCTGGGCAGACAAGGCGGGGAGCGACTTTTGGGGTGGGTTGACCTTACAAAGCGCACGAAGTGCTTGAAGTCCAAGCAGGGCCACGCTGTGAAGCTTCTCGGACGAGCTCCCAACCCCACCAGCGGTCCTGGATCGTCGTATCTTCGGGGTCTACATGGTGCATGGTTTGTCAGGGTTTGGGGATCTATGCTGGCATCTTTGTTTGAGGTTTTTAGGGATTAGATTTTTGCTGTTGGTGGCTCTGGGGTGTTGGGGCTCGGGGGTTTTGGATCTTGAATCTAAAGCTTTGGTCTTTGGCTTCAAGGCTAAGTCGTTAGCAATTTTAGGGTGTGTGGGTGTAGCATTCAGGATTGGTTGCTTGTAAATGCCCACCTCGGCCACTCACAACTGTCAATGCACCCTTTCTGAGGTGAGGGCATCAGCCCATGTGGTGTATGACCCGATGCCCCAAGACCACCAGGACTTTCAAGCCATCCATCAGAACAGCAGGGATCTACGATTTGGGCCACAACAGGCCCCTTCTACTTCGACCCATGGTCAACTCCGAAGCTTCAAAGCTCCAGATCTCTCCGAACCCCTCAGCCCTTGACGGATCAAGACTTCGATGGGATCTTCCTTCAACTCTAAGACTCTAAAACCTAAAGCTGCGATCCAAGGTCTGGCCAAATCTTCGAGTTCCATACTGCGTCACTTGTGGGGCTCTCTGTCAGAGACAGGGAAGCTATGACAAAGCCGGCAGCTCTTAATGAACTCCTGCAATGTGTAGAAGTTCGAAGAAGGAAACAGACCAATGTTGTTGGTGTAGAAGTAGTGGACATAGATTTCCAAGACAGCGATGAGGCATGGCTTCTGAACTCACACACCCTACTGTAGTGCCTGGTCCTGAGCATCACCATCAGCATCACCGCAACCATCATCCTCATCTCTATCATCCACACTGGCGCGCGAGGTGCAAGCAAAGGTTTCGAGTCATTCAATCCTTTCCGTTGAGGCTTAGGGTTGACGATGCTGCTTTCTTATGTGCTGCGAAGTTCTGGGGACATACCATACATGATTCTCGACGAACTGATGTGAGAAGACCGAACTTCCCGCGCTACTGGCACTAAAGTCGGTTTTCGAACACTGGGAGCAAGAATCAGAATCTATTCACTGCTTGGGGGGGGGCTTGTGGGGGCTCTGCCCCACTGTTTGGATGTGTGCTTAGTCAGGTTCTTCCTAATTACAAGCCCACCATCACAAAGCCGTGAGCTGAGTCACAGCTGGCCGCTCCAAGTGTTCCGGTTTTGGGCTGACCGAGAAGCGAGGTGCCATTTCGACAAGGTTTATTTCTGGCCGGAGCCTCGCTGTGCCAACTCTCCTGGCAGGGATTACAGCCTCGAAGTTGGCCAGGCCGAACCATCCAATGGAGAGTGCCATCGTGTTCGAGGAGGGTCAGGCGTGGCGGCCTGTATTCAAGACTGAAAAAACTGCTTGAGCCACAGCTCCGCACATCTCTGCCTCCGAAGGCCAGCTTCTTCCTGCACCGGCAACAGACGATGCTGCGCCGGCGACGTCGCCCCGCCGAAAGAGGTGGACTCCCCAGAAGTGTCGCTGCTTCAGCAACCGAGGAGTGGATGGCCATCAGAGCGACCTCCTCGCAGCAGCCTTCCTCTACACCGACAGGCTGTATTACAGGGAATGGTTTCGAGCAATTTTGCTTACGCAAGACATTACAGTATTACTGAGTACTCGGTCCTTTGTATCTGACAGGAGGCTGTCAGAATCTTTCAACCTTCCCAACATGCCCCTGCAGGGAAGATGCCAACGTCAACCTTGTCGTCACGTCTGGCAATGACAAGACCTTGTGTTTCTGGGACAGGGTCTCAGCTTCTCTCGGCCTGTCGCCTCTTTGGGTTTCCTCGGACTTCCTCGGATTTTGGGGGAGTTTTGAACAGGGCTGGCCTTCTGACCAAGGATGCTAACGCCTTCAACCTAGTGAAGCGTTGGAGCCGCAGCCCCACTGCAGCGGTCAGCAGACTGTCTCTGCCGGCTTTTGCAATCATGAAACAGAACACGCAGCGCGCAGCCTGCTGCTGAAAGTCTGCCTGCAAGTATGGCCGCTCGCAGCCGTAGTCCGAGTCCCGCAACTGCCAGATGTCTTGCCAGATCTCACTTGTTAGGTCTGAAAGACGTGGTTGGTGAACTTTGCTGGTGTGGAGAGATCAATGCTTCGGCCTCGGCCACCTGTCCGGCAGTGTCTCTGATGGTCTCTGTCGATTTTAAGAGTCAGGAGTGCAAGAGTCAACAGAAAAGCCTCTAAGCCTGCGCCCCAGACCCCTAGACCCCAAAGCCCTGACCCTGAAACCCCTAGACCCCAAGCTCCACAAGATCACTGGGTCACCTGCAAGGGCTGTCTTGTGGAGCTTGGCTTCTCAGAGGCTCTCTACGCCGCTGATCACTTCAGTGAGCGCTTCTGGGGATGGCTCATCAGAGACGAGCTGGAGGTGAAAACGCCGAGGGCCCCAGTGACCCAGAGACTCCGACGTGCTTCAACTCAGGATCCCTTCATGAGCGGACGGCCAGCAATAAGTTGAGGGGGATAGTCCTCAACCAGAGCATGCTCTTGGGGTTTTTCTGGACAAAAGCGCCTTTCAAGTTCCTGCTGAGGACTGGCACCGGTGGCATGAAGCCCGACAAGAGCTTAGAGCGGAAGCCTCGGACTTTGACAAGTTTCGGACAGGAAAGCCGTTCTGTAACGTTCTCTCTCGCACCGTGCTACTGCCCTGTGCCCGACATCGCCGCGACGCCAAAGAAAGCTTCTTGAACGGTGGGCCGTGGCTTCGTAAAGGATATGACAACGGAGATGATATAGTAAGAGTGAGACAAGGTGGAGCGTTCAGCCTCCCAGGTTCAAGAATGGGCACTCCAAGGCCATCCAAGTGCCGGCCTTAAGAAGGGAGCAGGAGGTGACCGTGCTTTACCAGGAGGGCGGAGTTCGGATCGGAAGTTTGGAACCTCGGAGGACTTTCAGAGGAAGGGCTTTATGGCATAACGGTTTAGGGTTTAGGGTTTAGGGGTTTAGGGTTTAGGGTTTAGGTATGGTGCAAGAGTTCAGGCTGGGATTCTTGCTGTCAACAAGGGGCAGACCATCCTGTGAAGCCGTCGGCCATCGGACGGTCGACCACGAATTGAGCCTGACAGATGCGAAGGTACCATCGAACCCTGGGCCCAGTATAATTAGCCTATTATAGTATATCATTTGGTAGCATATTATATTATATTGTAGTATAATATATTATAGTACATTATATTATAGTAATTATAGTATATTATAATGTAGTATAGTATACTGTAGTATAGTATGCAGCTGTCTGTCTGAGGACAACCAGACCAGATTTCCCGAAGGCCAAACTGATTGGACCCACGGGTCGCCTCATGCCAGCCGTTTCTCTAATTATCTGATTACCCAGACATATTTAGTTATACTGATATTGAGAAAGAAATACATACAGTTCGATACTATATAGAAATATATATATATACACACACACACACACTCACACACGTACTTCTGTTTCAGTGCGTTTTTGGTCGCTGAGGCCATGAAGTGGTTGGAGCCGCTCCAGTCTCATCCTCAGACTCGTCGCAATTCAGAGTTCTCTCGTTCTTTAGTGTTACCAGCAGTAGCCTTTTAGGGTTTAGGGTTTAGGAGTTTAGGGTTTAGAGAAAGCAGTGCACCGACTCATTCGTTGAAGGTGGAGTGCCAGAGCTTTCTACCACATGTCCAGCTTCGCGGGGGGTTACTTGTGACCACACTTCCTGCACTGTCGGCCCCAGAAGACTGCTGACAAACATTAGTTGGGTGCTAGCGGAAATGAGCAGATTGAGGTGATGCCAGTACTGGTCCAAGACCCTCCCTGAGCCCTGAGAATAGTACGCTACTGTGCTCACAAAACAAGGGCTGCGACTGGCATAGGAGAAGTAGAGGGGCAGGTGAGTGACTCCGGGACGCTGCTTGCAATCTCTGAGCCTAAGGTGCTTGGCAACCGCCTCCCTGGACACCACTGTTCAGATCTTTGATACGGTCCAGTCGGGTCCTGAATGTTGCTACGACAGTGGGGCATACACGCAGCAAGCAGGTCGCAGGAAGCGGATTTCAGAATTCGACTTCCAGTACCTTCGAGGGATCTATGCTTGAGCTCTGTCGGGATTCGAGGCAGACGAGGGCGCACGTGCTTCAAGGCCACACCAAAGGCATGAGTCCAAGCTCGGGAGGGCCAGTTGGTCTTGTTGCCTGCCTCATTACTTCTTTGTCCACCGCCCCTTTAGCTGTTGCAGGCCTCTAGCCTATGGTCCAAGAAGCGAAGAAACCTTGCATTTCCGCAGTTCAGCTGAAGCCTTAGCATTAGCTGTGCCTGGAGAACCTTGCCGCAAGCTCCTACACCAACGAAGCCTGCAGAAACCATGGGAAGACTTTTTCGGAGATGAGCAAAGCCCTCTTTTCCGATGCCGCTTGAGCCATGGCGTGTCTGAAGCACCTCCGCTCACCGACGCGAGCTCTGTGATTTGGCACCTTGAGATATCTTCTAGAAGCTTATGATCCTAATGAGATGCCCAGGAGCTTCCGGAGTTCACATGTTTCTGTCCCTCTGCTTGTCTCTAGCAGCAAGTACATGGGCAACTAGCATCATCACCGAAGAAGGGTCAGCGCAAGGTTGAAAACTTCCAGGCCGAGATGCATGCCTGGGCCTAGCCGCCTACCATCTCCCAGTGCAACGACGTCGCTTGTTGGTGGACAGAGAAAGCTGGTTGAGGAGTTTAGAGTCACGGGTCACGGTATCAGACAGATTTTCTATATGTATAATGCACACACACACACATATATATATATATATATCATGCATACATAACATACATACATATACATGTGCAGCTCTCTCTCTCTCTCTCTCTCTCCCTCCCCCTCGTATCTGTGGAAAAAAGTAGGTAGGTAGGAAGGTAGGAAGGAAGGTAGGTAGGTAGGTAGGTAGGTAAGTAGGTAAGTAAGTAAGTAAGTAAGTAAGTAAGTAAGTAAGTAAGCAAGTACGGGTACTTGGGTGCGTGTATGCAAGTGCCTATGTATCTATGTATCTATGTATGTGTGTGTGT